GGGGGGGGCAGCCAGGATGGGTGGCCAGGAGAGTAGGGGGGGACAGCTGGTGACGGGGAGATGGGGCAGCAGGCATGCAGATTTCAGCACTGTCATAAAAGCCGTGAATCATGACAGCGGGGGTTAGAGCCGGGACTCGCAGACTGCAGAGGCCAAGGGAGGCCTAAATTCGCTGTCCGTCTCTGCACTGGGGTGACCTGAGGGGGTGGGGGCAGCCTGAGGGGTTGAACACAGTGGGTGTTTGGTCCTCCTGCCAGCAATCAGCAGGATGAGCAGAGATGCTCCAGGTGTGGAGGAAACAGCCCCCAGTGGATGGATGACGATTGGATGGAAGGGCCCAGGCCAAAGTCCCTTTCTTCTCACCGAGCTCTTTGTGGGATGGGGGGTGGGGGGAGGTGTGCTAGGTACAGAGCGCCTAATCAGGGGCCTTTGAGGGACAAGGTGGATCTGGGCACTGAGGGACGCCCCATGAGAGAACGATTCTGTCGCAGGAACAGAGCGGGTATATGGAGGCTCTCACCTCTCACTGTCTCTAAGTCTGAAATGAGCACAGTTTTTTTCTGTAAAGGGCCAAATACTCTATGTCTAGCTTTTGGGCTGCCAGGTGGTCTCTGCTCAGCCCTCCCTTGTACAGCAAAAGCCGCCATAGATGGTACTCAATGAATGGGCGTGCCTGTGCCAACAAAACTTTATTTATAAAAACAAGTGGAGGGGCTTCCCTGGTGGCGCAGTGGTTGGGAGTCCGCCTGCCGATGCAGGGGACACGGGCTCGTGCCCCGGTCCGGGAGGATCCCACATGCCGCGGAGCGGCTGGGCCCGTGAGCCATGGCCGCTGAGCCTGCGCGTCTGGAGCCCGTGCTCCGCAACGGGAGAGGCCACAGCAGTGAGAGGCCCGCGTACCGCAAAAAAAAAAAAAAAGCAAGTGGAGGACCGGATTTGGACTGAGGGCTGTAGGTTGCGGGGGCCTTGCCCCTAAGAGGCTGCGGTATTCAACACCACGCACCTCTGGCCCAAATCTGATCGACCTCCCTTGAGGGGTCGGGTCTAAACATCACCTCTTTAGGATCCTGACATCCCATCTGACAGGTCTCTGAGACCACGGGTTACCCTCTGTCTCTGCCCTCCTTCTTGTCCTTTAGGACACATGTCAAAGCTGTATATAGGGTCCCTTACATTTCCCTCATTTGCCCGCTTTCCTGAACTCTAAATTCCAGAGAAGCAGCGACCGTGTGCCCCTCTTCCTCAGCCACCTTCCAGGTCCTGGCACAGGGCGGTTGATATTTGCCACCTGACAAATGACTCAAACTCCAGTGCTGGGCACAGAGCCCAGCACCACATGGACCCCACCGCTCCATGTGGCCGCACGGTTGGGGATCCAGCCTGGTGTCTTAGCCTTGGCCTCAGTCCATGATGGCCTGTCCCAAACTGCCTCCCCATTTTATGACATTTCAGAGAGCACTGGGAACAGCGGGCCATCTATAGCCTTGCTGAGATCACCTAGGTCAGCCACTTGCACTGCTGTTGTCTGTGGCCCCCTCCTTGGGGCTGAGGACCGACCATGTCCGCCAGGCCCCAGGCAGGCTCAGAAGATGCTGACTCACCTGGTCAATGCCACAGAGACTCCCCCATAGCAATGGGGAAACTGAGTCCCGGTGGCTCTGTTGAGGGCGCTGGAAGCAGCATCTCTGTGAAAGGGGGTCTGGGAAGTGGGGTGATGGTGGCAATGACTGGGTGGAGATTTCAGGACACAGCACCCTGAAGGACACCCGCTCTGCAGAAGAAACACCGAGGCCCAGGGGGGCGCCCTGTCCACGGCCCCATGCTCCTGACTTCCCCCACATCACTGTCTTGCACAGACACTCCACGGCCCACCTGTCCAGTAAGTATATCCCCTGGGTGCTGATGTCTCCTAAAGGCCCTCCTCTGGCCCTTGGCCCCACGTCCAGCCATGTACCTTCATATGGGGGGGATCGTGCTCAAAGCTGAGCTCCTGGCCTCTCCCCACCCCGAGCCTACCCATCTCAGGTCATGGCAAAAGCCATCTATCCAGATGCTCAGCGCAGCCCCCTCTGCCCTGGTCCCCAGCTCCCACCTCACCCTACGGTCTTGTCCTCCTCTCAGTAGCCAGAGGGCGCCTGTGAGCAACTAAGTCAGGCCCCGCCCCTCCTCCTTGGCCCACAGCCCTCCAGGGTCCCACCTACCTCCCTTGGGGTAACAGCCCAAGTCCTCCACAAGGCCCTGCACGGCCTGCCCCGTCCCCTCCTCCCTGTCTCCCCCTCGCTCACTCTGCTCCAGACACACGGGTCTCCTCGCTGTTCCTCCAAACATCCAGGCACGGTGCTGCCCCAGGGCCTCTGCACGGGCTGTGCCCCAAGAAGTCCCCATGGCTCAACCTCTCATCTCCTTCAGGACTCCCAGTTCTTCATATCACAGCTGACATCCCATTTTACGTACTGTCTAACTCTCCCACTGGTGACACACCTACTGCTGTATCCCCAGTATTGGCTGGACAAGCGACACGGTCATGAATACGGGGGTCCCAGCCTCATCCCACTGTGGGAGACCCCACTGTCTCGCATATGCCCAGCGGCCGCCCACCACAAGATACGCTCCCCGGCTCAGATGTCACAAGAACTGGGTTGAGGCTGGCAGGGCCGGGGGAGGGGGTGGCCGC